AAATAGTCTCACGCTATGTGACTAAGCTCCATGAGGGGGCGTTGCGATATAATCCTTCTTACATACACCGCTGGGTGAGCAACAGGTTATCGTGCGAACGTCTAACGCGGAGACAACGGCCATACGTACAAGAGGTAGCATGCCTACTCTTACGTAGACACCTTTGAACCAGAGTGAAGATACGGAAGGTTCGGGAATTCTGACCAAACGTTAAACAAACTGAAAGTCAAAGTGAATACATACTTGTACGGTCTGTTAGAACGTTAACGTCTGTTAACGTGGTGATGAACTGAATGGATTCCGGTGAATCAGAGTTTGTGCTGAGTTCATATCAGCGAGCGTGCCAGGTCTTCACGTGTGAACAGCTTCATAGAAGAATGTGAAGTTTTCTCATGATAACCTCGGATCGCGGAGTCCGCGACCGGCAGCTGACGGAGGATAATCAGGTGGAGGATAATCCGGCGTTATGTGACTGAGCTTTACGAAAGGGACGTTGTAATGAAAATCTTTCTAATTTACACAGACCACAAAGATTTGGTGTCGCAAAACAAGTACCTCCGCTCTACACCGCAGGCTAGGCATCTGACAAGCCCTGATGGGAAAGAGCCGTAACACTATAAAGAAGACTGAGAAGATTGAAGTACCACCAGGAGTTTGATGAGATCCTCGGGATATATTCGGAATCCGCGAGTCGGGTCCAGATTTGCGTGGCAAACTATGCTCACGCATCTTCCAATAGCTATATAAAATGCTATTCCCCTGAAGTGCAGGGCCTGCACTATTACTATGCGCGTATCTCTGCGCCTGTCTCTGGCGTTACGTTGGATCGCGATAAGACTGGGATGATCCCAGTGGGATCCGGATGAACTATCTGTTCAACGAACGGTTCCCCCCTCGCGCTTTTGTGAGTCCATCATGAACTCGGCCATAACCGAGAGCTTTTCCTCAGTTGATAAGGTATAATACGAAATGCGTCAGTACTCCTTGGTCTTTCTTCTTCTCGCCCTTAGCGGTCTATTGGACGCCCAGCCATCCGGCAAGTATTGTGGTTCAGGGTCTACCATATTCGGCGACTTTGCAGTCGAAATCGTCATCACAAGCTCAACGACAGCCGACATTTACGCTGTATACACTCCCCCTGGCGGAGACGCGGGAGGTGGTAACGTGAAGGATGTTAAATACACTTACGACTCTTCAAATGGCGACATCACTGTCACTGACGTAGACAAGTTGGACGCACTGATTGAAAAGATTGGAGCGCCCATTAGTGGAGCTGACCTTGCGCACCTCAAATATACTGACGGCAAGATTCTCGTTGTG